AACGTTGTTGTATGCCTATCATTGCACTGAAATATGTCCAATCTTAAAATATCCTAATGAAGTTACCAGTCTGTTTAAATCCCCCTTTTCTTGGGCCCTTAAGAAACCTGTTTTCCTACATCATCCTATTAACCTTCATTTCTCAACTAAGGCCACAGCATTTTTTTTATTTTTTTTTAATAACTGGCCCGCCAGCATTTGTTTCCAGGAAAATGAAAGAAAGCAAAAATCCCGAATCTTTTCTTATTCTAATTTCCCGCCGATATTGTGACGTCCGCGAAAGAAATAGCGAAAAATAAATACAAATCAATTTGTGTATGATTCATTGTGCATGGTATAATTTCTCCCGTCCTCAAAAGAAAAAAGAAATATATTTGGCGGAAATGCCTTACTCTCGTGGCATGTCATTTCTATTGTCCATCGTGGATAGATTTGATTTTGATTTCCAAAATAACAAATTCTGGTTGAGAGAATTCTTTGTCTGTCTTTTAGTAAAACAGCATTTCACTTCCTCCAGGTGGGGCTGGAACTGATACATTCCTTTACTTCTGATCTTTGGAAGCTGGGGATTTCCTTCATTATCACCAGACTTGCCCGCTATTCAAGAAAAATCTGTGGCCTAAAGCATTAAAATAACGAAAAATCCTGGAAAAAAAATATAAAGTGCTTGTTTTTTCTCTCTCTTTTGTACTAATTTTTTAATGTTACCATTATTATTATCAATACTTTTCACAGACCTCCAAATCGAGAGTGCCATTAGAAAACGTATTTCGAAATTACCAGAAGGACAAATAGTTTATTTACAGGGGCTCCCACTCTCGTTTGCAAGTTATTTGTCGAAATTTGTGGTTAACGGAGTCAGCAGTAATAAGTTATTTACATATTCCTCGATCACACATTATAACAATCTTTATTTCATATAGGTTAAAAATACCGTTTACTTTGGCGATTATCATTGCAAGTCTGACTGAGATTACCCTTTGAAAGTCGGATCTTTCTTTTTTCAACTGAAAATGATTTTTAAATAAAATCAACTCGTGATATGAACACTTTTTCCGAACTGATTTTCGTCATACATTTCCAATACTGTTTGATGGTTTCATCTGCTTTGGGATTTTCCTTACAAACATTGCAAGGTTGACTGAGATTATCTTTTACAAATCGAATCTTCCTTATTTGGAGTAAGGAATTATGGTTTATCTCAGCTCCCGATTTTAATGTTTTTTTCCCCAAAGGCTTGATTTTTTTCAACAATGTTTTTTGTTTATTGATCATTGTTAGTAAAATGAGTTTATTGTAAAAGGAAAGTGATGGAATATATGTATATATATACATCTTTGTCTGTATGTATATATATATATATATATATATATATATATATATATGTATATATATATCTATATGTATATATGCATATCATATATATATGTATATGTATATATTTATATATGTATATATGTATATCTTTGTGTATAAATGTATGTATGTGAGTATGTATGTATGTAAAGATTTATCTATATATATGTATGCATGTATCTGAATATTTACTTACCTATCAACATGTGTGCGATAACTGCTTGTTTATTTAAAGTAAGGTCAGCTCATCTTTCCATTATCAGTAACGCAATAAAACTAGGAATTCAAATTGAAATTCCTTTGTCAAAGATCAACCGTGTGCTCGGCGAGAGGCTGCGCGAAATAAAGCAAAAGAGGAACTCAACTTGGGCGTTTCCGTGGCCTTGTCATGCCGTCCGGACATGGCATGCCCTTGGACATGGTGCAAGGCTGGCCATCGCGTAACTTAGGGCGAATCTTTGGCCTCCATGCAATTTTAGCTATCTGTTATCGACTATATTTGTCGTCGAATTAAAATGAAGGCTTAAAAAAAACGCTATGCTATTGCCAAAGTAGATGAAACCAGTAGACGGTATTTTTAATCTACACGAAATAAAGATGTATTATTTGCAATCAAAAGATATGTAGATAACTTCTTACTGCGGACTCCTTTAACCACAAATTTCGACAAATAACTAAACGCAAACGAGAGTGGGAACCCCTGTAGATAAACTTTATGACTTACTGGTAATTTTGAAATACGTTTGCTAATGGTATTGTCGATGTGGATATCTGCGAAGAGTATTGATAATGATGATAATGGTAAAAGCAGTAGACATACTAACAGTTGAGAAAAAAAATGTATAGAGATAAGTTTCTTCTTTTTACTGGATAATTCAGGAAAACAGGTTTTTGAAGGAGCCAAGAAAAGAGGGATTAAATAAGGTTGGTAACCGTTTCAGCTTTTAAAGATTGGATAGATTTCAGAGCAATGGTAGGCATACAATAACGTTTAATACATTTTACTCTCTTGGTGAAAGCACACGCGCACACGCACACACACACAGATGCATATGTATGTAACATTATATACACAAGTGTAATATAACGGTTCTGATAAATTTTACAATATCATTCTATGTAATAGATGATCCTGTGGTGTAGT